ATTAAATAATTTTATGATTAATGTTGTCAATGGGATTCTATTCATATTAATTATTAACGATAAATGTATGATACCAAGTTTTCACATTTTTCGATAATATATTTGATATTATTTTACAATACATAATCCATAACTAAATAACTAGTTATTTAACCATTAACCATGACATAATGAATATTAAATATTGTTATTGTTAGGTAATTATTATATTATAGTGAAATTGTTTAAAAAAATTTCAACAATGGTATTTGTAATTTATGTTTAAGTGAAACAATCATAGAATTAAAGTAAGGAACTTTCATTTTCTGTATTTAAAATAATAAAAATAATCTAATTTATCAATAAAAGATTTCATCACTAATTGTTAATCAACCTAGTCCTAACTTAACCTTTCATATTAAATATAGAAGACAATATTTTATAACAAATCAATTTGTTGGATATTATACATAAATTTGCAGTTTTTAAACGCTGGAAAAAATTGATATAAGATCAATATTAATGTATTTGAATTTACTTTTTTCCAAGTTTTTATTTTTTATTTTTATTAGCTTTTCATTATAAATCTAGCTCAACAATTACAATACGTTAGAGTATTAACAATCAATATAATAAGTAGAAAAAAAAAAGAAAACAGTAGAATAATAATATAATTAAGTTATAAATAGCTAAAGATATAATAAATTATATAAACAAAAAGACTCCGATAATAAAGCCAGCCTCCTGAATAAAATAAATAATAATAATAATGACTTGTTCAGAGTTAGAGTTTAAAATGGAGTGGTGGAGATTGAAAGGAACATTCAAGGATTTGAGAGAAGTAATTAGGCTCTGACGCTTAATGGAAAGAGAGAGGCAATCGAAGAGAATATGGGACAAATCGCAAATATGTTCATCCATATGTAGGGTGCAAAAAGGGGAATCATTTAAATTTAATTTATAAGCATGTGAGGGTAATAAGTGATGCCCTATACGCTAATTTTTAATTATTATATAAATATTTATTAAACATAGTGCTTTGAAAAAATTCCTAGTAGGTACCTATAAATTAATTATATAGTTTTTTACTTTTTAATGTTTTAAAATATATTTGTATTGAGTTGAGGAGATAGTATGGTGAGAAGACAAAATGTTAATTGTATATATATTTATATACAGGTGGCAATTTGGCTTAATGCAACACTGACTGCATTCAGTTAAAAGAATTTAATTGTATTCCTTAAATAGTTTAAAACTAAGATAATATTTGCTTGTAGWCATTGTGCCGTTATTAAAGAGTTGTCTTGAATGTTTTAGGCGGATACAACGCCTCGTTATGGATCTGGCAAATCTCGTTTTTACACTGAAGCTGATTCTGAGTCGCACGTCAAAGTCGGATTGATGACTCCTGTCAAGGCTGTCACAAATGAAGACCCCACAATGTACCTGTCAAAATCCACGTTCTATGACACTGGTTCGCAAGTGGACAAGTGTCGTACAGAAGACTGTGAGTTTTTCGGGTCATCTGTGACTAAACATCTTTGTTCAAAATGTTACCAATTACATCAGCAGCAAAAAAAAGAATCTGTTTGAAACAGTAGAAAAGTTACACAAATATTTCATCTCATTGTAACACACATTTCCACACACACACATCAACAACACATACAYAATTAGTTTTTTTAATTAATTTTAAAAGTTTGTGACTAACGTGTACATATCTAATACTATGTACAACACACATCTATACGTCGCAACATCACTAAATAAATAAATGAACATGTTGTTTACCAAAATTAATTATCACTCGTTCATATTGCATATTTATTATTTTATTTAATGTTTTTATTTATATGTATCAGGTAAATCGATTCATATTATGCTTGTTGCCTTTTTTAATTTGTTGAAAATTATGTATTTTTTTTTTAAACAGTTATTAAGAAATGTTCTCCTATATCTTCAACTAGTCTTGAAAATCACAAAATTAACAATATTGATTAGAGTGTGGTTATATTATATAATAAAGTTGTAAAGCAAACTAAAATATTTACTCTAATCTGCTGAATTAATTAACCACAGCTATAAGTTGTATTATCATTTTCTTGCTTATTATGTTGAGGCTTGTTTTTCCTAAACAATTTCTGTTTAATTTTTAATAATCATATTTTTGCATTACCAAAATAATCATAATTTAGAAAAATTATTAAAAAAGAAAAAACTAATAAGCGCTAATGGTAAAATCAATACATGTTAATATATTGATTTTGTTAACAGACTATGTGTTAAATATCATGTGATATTAAATTACCCAAAATGTTTTACGATCGATTATCGTTCTTGTTTTATCTAAATGAATTTATTGTTCGTTTTAAATTTTTTTTATCTGTCTTATCATTGTGAATTTGTATATGTACATTTATTTATTTATTTATTTATTTACTTATGTTATTGATTTTTGTTGTTAGTTTTTACTTGTTAACAGAAGAATAACATTGTATGTACTGGAAAATTATTGTTTTTTTTTATACATTRTAACTATGTTTGTACAATATGTCTATGGTAATATTATGTCGTTGAGAAAACGTAAAATATATTATATTGTGATTGTTTTAGAATTACCTACCGCGCAGATCTTTTAAAATTATTGATTAAATTTTTCATATTAACTGAATTGTTAGTGTATATGATATGAATAATTGACTAATACATCTCATCGCCTATTTGTAAGACAAACAAATATGTGTATAAGAAAATAAATACATCTAATTTTACTCTTAAAAAAAAAATAGTGTTTTTCATTATTGTGTCGCCAATTCCCTTTTAAAGTTTTGGTTATATATATATATATATATATGAAGGTACTCTTTAATTCTATAAAACCGTATGGAACTATTAAAATAATTAAATAATTAAATTAAATATAATTAATATTTAGCATAATAGTTCGGCTGGTTCAATGCGATGCACGTAAAGGAAAAAGACCTTTGGGGTGACTTAGATTAAGGAAGGAGAACAAAGTAAAAAAAGGATTTAGAAATGGTTAAGATTCACATTGGAATATTTTGACAATAGATAAAAAAAAGTGGCAAGWATTATGTGGCGTGCGTTGCCATAATATGGCAACAGGTACCTATACCCAATTTTTAGAAGTTAATTTTTCATTGAGAATTTTACTTAAACTGTGGAAATAACATAATGTAATAGATTATTGTTTAAAGATAAGATATTATGGTTAGTAATTGTTTTCGTTCATTGTAATCATTTTTGTTATATCGTTTGACTTTTTGCGTTTAACTTAAATCGTGGTTGGTACTATTAATTTTTTAATATAATTTTGCATATTACATTTAATACAATATTTAACTAAATATTTTGTGTTTATAGCACTCTAATGATGCTATCAAAGTATCAACATATTATTGGRTGCCATTGGCAGAAATATCCTAGTTCTGAGGGGAATAGGGGTTGAATTTCAAATGCACAGAGGTAATGGAGTTCTGCAATACGTCGCCTGTTTGTTATATTG